AAAAAATTAAAGACTCGAACCCAAAACAACGCAACCTCGAAAATCTAACGACGCACAGTGAAAATTAGTACTAATTAAGCAGCGACGCAACTTCGAAAAAACGCAAAACGAAACGACGCAAAGCGAGGTATTGGTGTACTTGAATTAGGCTCGAATTTATAGTCGATTCTCGCACTTGGCACTCAGCACTCAAGTGCGTCCAACCGTTCCGCGTTCAATGTACACATTTATGTTATGTTCAGATTCTAAAAGTTTTATAATTCATGTTTGAAAAAAAAGTGAAAGAAGCGGAAAAGGAGAAAAACTATTGCGTAGCTATTCCGCTACTCTCACTTCTTTTTAAACATAACAATGTGTACATTGGTGGGACGCACTTGAGTGCTGAGTGTCAAGTGCGAGAAGCGACTATAAATTCGAGCCTAAGATAATAAAGCCTGGTTCTGATATTTGACGCCGTATCCTTCAATAACATCTGGTGGATTGTCTAGTAATTACAATTATATTAACGTTTACTGTACCTGAAGCGCGTCGAGTGCACCAATGGGCGTATTGGGTTGATGAGGAAGAACCATCCCTCGTTCTCCGATCGCCTGCAACGTGTAGCTGGAAGCCGGTAGCTTGTGGGCCGTTGCGATCTGCACGAGGAGGTCCATCATCGGCGTGCTGGAAAACGGGAAACCTCTCATCAGTATTTGCGAACGCCTCCTCATTCCGGAAACGATAACTCCGTTACGGTGGATCGCCTCCGAGCGTCGCCGTGTTCGAAATTATCGCGGCCAATTGAATATCTCTATGAGGCGTATCGCGCGAATTTATTTCTGAACTTTCAATATATTGGTTTATGGTAATGGGAGAGAGAACGGTTCTCTGGGCCCGCGACTTTCTTTCCAAACGTTTCCTCGCGTCCGGTAAACGGATCATTAGTCACCGAACAATTCTTCAGACTCCGCTGGGTACAATTTCTTTCTTTCGTTTCCACGAAGCGACCCGATTTCTGTGAACGGGCAGAAGCTGGCAAAAAAATTCTATGAGAGGCGAAAGGGAAAAACGTCTTAAATGCGAGAGAGAGAAAGACTGTCTCAATTTCTCCTGTGGTTTTTAGACTGTAGAAAGCACGATTAGGGCGACACCACAAGTACGCAGCGAGTCACGTTTACAACTGACGATTTTTATAGCTCTCGTTTTTTCACAGGATTCTTAGGGTAGTATTCAGAGTCGTTACTTATATTTAAGCATTTGCTTAAGTCCCAATTTCTGGTACAAGAGTGGGACTGGAAACATGGGATAGACAAGGATAGCAAATGCTTAAGACGATTTTAAGAGTAAGCAACGACTCTGAATACCGGCCTTAATCTGATTGTAAGTTTAGAATTTATTTCTTTATTTGTAAGAAACCGGAAGTCCACGGGCCAGTGTAACCAGTGATAAAGCCTAACTGACGATTTTCATGGAATACTTTTTAATATTTTAAACATGGTTGCAGCTCTGGCTATACTTTTGCCATTAGTAAAAACTTCGAAAAGCGATAAGAAGAAGGAGGGACAGGGGTCGAATCGACAGCGTTCCAAGGTCATTCTTGGCTAGCCGATTAAGAAAAATACTCCATGTTTTCACATGAAACATATTTATAATAGACACAATTCAATTAATAAAACTGTCATTGTGGTTTTTACTGTAGGATTATATTTTGATTAAAACCTGAATAAGGTTTTGCGTTAAATATGAATGTGGGCGTTAAAGAATCGAGAGATCGGTGAAACACATTTATTTGTCGCTAGGACGACTATAAAATGAAGTTAAACATTTCAATTCCGGAACATTCCCCCTCCAACGCCAGTGTAGCCTTCGCACTATTTCTTTTATGATACTTTGGGCTTAGGTCTGTTTATCTTCCAAAAAATATGCAACTTTTTTCTATATTCATGTACGACAGCCTTTATATTTAATGCTTTTGCATAAAGAGAACCTAAAATGGTAAACTATAGAAATTTTGAAATCTAAACCTAACCATAATTTTCAATATGATTTATTGTAGTATTTATTACAAAAGGAAGAACGGGACAGGTGTCTGACGAGGCCGAGAAGGAGGCCGGACGAGTTATAAAACATGGCGTGCTCGAGCGAGCATAGAGCATCTTGTAATAATAATTATGCATTGGCAGCTGAGCCGGTGATTCGAGCAACGTCACGCTGCAGTAACACGATGATTGGTAGGTATTGTCGGTCGGAGGATCCAGGAATCCGGGAATTAATCCGCTAATCGGACCGTTAGATTAATTCTAAGCTCGATCTCGATACTGTTATAGACAAATCTAGTGTGACACTGGTTTTCGTACGGCTGATCAATTTTCTACCCAATCAAAACCGTTAGCTATCCACGAAACCAAATTACATTTTACTAATCTTTATTACTACAGGGGAATTTGATAGGCCAAGTATTTGTAAAATGTCAAGTTGAATCAATAATTCTACGTTCCTAGGATTATTTGTACTTAATCAGATTTTTTCATATTACTTGTTTATTTATAATATTTAATATAAAATATGTATGAAAAGTTTATAATGCGATGTATAAAAAGCACTATAAAGGATGTGGTTGGGAAGTGTGTGAAGTTGCCTAAGAACGCTAGGTATTCGATATATTGCAATAGGGAAGAACCTTTTTTACATGAAAAGCCATATTCATTTTTTTAAATATAACAATTTTTATGAGTTAATTTGAATTACAAGCGAAATTCCTTCTTAACTGCACAACGTCTATTAGTTATTCTAACTAAAACAATTTCTCATGATAACAAATGGGACTTTTAAGAAAGGTTCCTGCAGGTTCCTCATTCTTCGTACAGACTGTGGCTAGGAAATATGTGAGATATTGATCGTTCATACTTGCCCAAAACCGCCAAGCATTCAAATTGCATAGGTTAGGAATAGGGAAGAATCTTCAGTATGTGATAGGAAATATTAATTTTCTGAAATAGTTAGAATAATTCTTCTATCATGTATGAATTGATTTGAATTTTTAATGTTTTCAGTTTTAATTCCAAGCAAAATTCCTTCTTTAACTTCGTAACTGTTGTTATTTTAACTAAAACAATTTATTATGACAATAAATGGGGCTTTTAAGAAAATGCAAGATGGCTGCAGGTTCCTTATTCCTAGCACAGAATGTGGAAATATGTGAAATATTGATCGTTTCATACTTTTCCCAAGAACTATTCTAAATAATGCATTTTTCATACACTAATTATTTCTAATACTGAATATGGCTAGTAAAAATATATAAAATATTAATTGCCCAAACTTTGCACAAAAACTATACTAAATGCTCTTCATACACTGGCAGTAGGAATAATGTTCATTTAATTTGCACTAAAATTGGCCAATTTGGAACTTAATAGCCAATCTTTTCCTCATTCACCAGAAGCAAATCTTAGATGGAGCCTTAATCTAAAAAACTGTACAAATATCCTGAATGGGTACGTCGACCAGAGTTACGTGTGTTACACGTGATGAAGAAAAAAGACCACTTGATACGCAAGCCTGAGAAACGAGATCTGGCGTGCAACGTTAGATAAGTGTAATTGCATCATTCGGTACTGTTACTTGACGCCTGGGCTAGCAAGAGCTACAGTAGCATCGTGGAAATTGTTATACCTTCTCTGCACCGTGACCCTCTGCGTTTGAAGATGATTCTCCCGGGGTAATTGGACCAGCAGCTCCATGCTGCCTGCCAGCATGTCCGCTGGAGTGTCCTCGGTCACGGTTAGAACCATTCTCGATGGCCTCTCCTCTCTGATTCTGAAAAAACAGAACCAAATCTCACGTCAGAAAATAAAATTTGAGGTATTTCAATTATAACCTAACAT